GTTGGGGACTCTCTTTGTCTGTAGTAGTGGGCTTCTTTTGTATTCTGGGCTTGGTTTTTTCTAGAAAAATCTCCTTTTGGCTTTCTCTCATGCCTGCTGAGTGAAATAACCACACTAGAAACAACAATGCAACCTCTAATCTGGACCCGTGTCGTCGCCCTTTGGCTCCTAGGCACGACAATTTTCCAATGACTGGTCCCCAGAGAACGCCAACTTCCTACCCTTCCCACCTCCAGGCATTAGAAGAACGCTTCACAGCTGGAATAATAGAAATGCCAACCCCTAGGCAACCCATTCTGAGTTTCCCTTCCCAGCAAGAATCTGATGACTCTTTGCTAGAATCCCTTGATGAAGGAGGTTTCCGTTACCCCTTCGCACCCCCCCTGTCAAATGTCACTCATCGTCCTTTCCTCATCCCAGGACCCCTGGACTCCTCTAATAGTGACGCTGTAGTTTTGCACCAGTTCCCTGGGCCCCTGGAGGTTCCTCACGTGTTGGAAGCATCTAGCGGATCTTACCATGTGGCTCCTACACAGGTTTTTCCCTCCTCATCACCTATGAATATCTCGTCCTCTCCAAACCCTGACAGTCCCGCTGCTGCATCTACTGATTCCCCCAGTATGCCTCCTCTCGCCTCTGACGCCTCTGACAATGGCAGCCTCAACCATGCCCCCAATCTACAGCTACTAGCTGACGTCAGCGAGTACATTACTGCATCAGAAGGGCATAGCAGCAACCCCCAGGAGTTTGTAGTCTACAGCAACATTATCCAGCGACCCTCCAATGATGTTACCTGATACTAGCAATCCATTCCCTTCGACACCTCCACCCCAGTTCAAGATGTCTACCCCTTGGAATGTGTATTACCCTACTTCCCTGGAGCATACGCTACCACTGTTACTTGCCCTCCCATGGGCGTTCCCATTGACAGCAATCCTGCTTTTGGCTTACATCGGGTATCAACAACTGCAGCAGATGTACTTCAAGTTGCTGAACCTGTAGGAAACTGGAATTCTTCGGACAAGGAGTGAGAGGAGGACACTTGGGAATATTTGCTGACGCAGGACGATAACTTACTGGAAAGTCTTTGAGCGTCGCTACAAGACATCAAGGATCCTGGCATTACTGATGAAGTCGATTGTTTCAGAGCTGTTGACGCAAAGATAGACCTCCTACTTGCCGTACAACAATCCGTAGGGGCTGAACTCATTCACGCACAGGGAGAAATGGACCAGTGCAGAGCTCGGCTTAGAGCCGCCAACTTGGAGGAATGTCTTGAACAACACAAATTCTCCATCATTACTCCTCCCTCTGGCACCATGCCCCGCCGTCTTCGCTTCTGTACTAAATGTGAGACCAATGGCCATCTTCAGAGTGAGTGTTGGCATTGGTTATGTTCCTATTGCGGACTCCTTCATCCTCATCACAAATTCCATACCACCAACAACATACAACCTGGACAGCTCCCTTGCCCCACCAATGATCCTGGGTATCTGCAAGAGTGTTGTGCTCAATGGAAACTTTAAACAACAAATCTGGAGAGGGGGGTAATGTTACAGTGGCAGAGGGGGGTGCTTTTTCTTTTCCTAACTATTTGTTGTTGACCCTGTAAACTACATGACTGATCCCATCACTTGATGTATTTCACCTACATCAGTGTTTCATAT